GTTTAGAGGAACGCACCTAGTCCGGAGTCCATTGTCTTCATGATCATTTCCAAAGTTGAATCATGGACGTACTACATTCCCAAGCGTTTCGCCGACATCGTAGTCGGCATCATCAGTGAGTATCGCCATTCGTATCACTATATAACAACTCGTCAAAGAGACAAGACGAGTTGTTGTGTGGTGCTAAGAAGGGCGATACTCACTGATGATGCCGACTACGATTCCAGCGAAACGTTTGGGAATGTACTACGTCCGTGATTCAACTTTGGAAATGATCATGAAGACAATGGACTCCGGACTAGGTGCGTTCCTCTAAGTCTTACTACCAATATGACCATGTTGCGAAAACAAGGTCAAATGACCTCCATAGGAAATTTAATTGAAACGTAAGGTATAGTCACATCCTTTTGTGAACAGTTAAGTACCAGTTATTTATATTCTTAAACGAAATACGATGAAAACATCTTCCTATGGGAAAACTTACTTACTTATCCTTAAAATACCTCGAGCGAACGAGGCTGACTATGTTTTATTTATGCATTAGTGGTAGCCTTGAAACTTATTTGTAGTGAAATATTTTTGGGTTATCAGCAATTTTAGTTGAAAGCACATTTGTTTGCCCTTTCAGGTGACCTGCCAACTAAATGCACCTCGAGATCGCGGCAGTGGTGGACTTTGTATGTCATTATCTTTACAACAACCTGCCGCGGCGACGTGTGACCGAGTTTTCCGGCCACTTGGCTGCCGCCATTCATCAGCGACTCATCTTCACCGGCTGCTGGCGACCCGAAGCCCCACATCTGGGCATGCAGCATCGTTGTTTTCGGCTTACCGGACCACATGCCGACGCCGATCTTCTCCCAGCAACTGTCGGTCCTGCCGGCGCATTCGGTCTCAGCCTGGCCGAGGTAACGGCCTGTCTGCCAGGAGAAGAGTTGACCTTTTGGATAGACCCCGGTGAAGTGACATACCGGGTGGGACTCGGAGAGATTCAGACTCTCTGCCTGCTAGGGCGGGATCGTTTGGCCGGATCTATCGCCAGGGCAGACGACTTCGGGCAGACGAGTCGACAACATGTTTCAAGCCAGCGGCAGGGCGAGGATGTGGCGGGTGAGGCCCGAGGGAGGCAAGATGTCTGGTCGCCGGAACAGTTGTTGCTATCCGAAACTTCCAGACATCGAGAACTCGGATTCGACGAGCCTCCGATGTCGGTTTTGACGCCCCAAGTGAACCGAATGGAGAACGGACCATCTTCCGGCGGTGCTCCTGAACTGGCCACTAAAGCTGGAAATCTCTCTCCTACAAATGTCGTTCCAGAGGATCAACGCAACCTCTCCTCCTCTCACGCCATCCCGTTACCTGCATTACTGGCCCATCAACACCAGATCAGCCCTACCTACCCGGTCGCCTTGGTCACACCGAGTCTTCCAACAATCAGGCAGCCGTGCCGTTGTCCTGGAGTGATGCCCCAACTGGTGCTGTTGGATCGGCCGAGCCCTTTTGAGCCCGCAATTCTGGAGCCCGGGCTGCCGATACCGTCTTGTCGGGATCCCACTTTTTCAGCGGCCAAGTTCGCCCAGACCAAGTTCGGCTCGACTAAGTTGCGCAGTCTGGTCGTCGGCAGTGGTACCTGCTCAGCCTCGGGCTCAAGCGCATCCACCGCCATCACGACTCCCGTTGACCTGCAACGACGATCGGCCAATTTCGCTTTATCTGTCGTCTCGCCGTCTCGAAATCCGCAGCACATTTACTGCTTGTCGCTTCCTCGCACCAAACCGTCTACTCAGCCTCACCGTCCACGGCATCACTTGTCGTCTG